TTGAGGAGGCAGAAGGAATCAGAAATGAACCATCAGTTTCTACCTAGAGCAACTGACAGAGGAGTCGACAGGCTCAGAGAAGTAAGGGACTTGTCCAAGATCACACCACTGGCAAGTAACAAAATTAAGATGTAGTCTGCCTCCCAACACCAGTTCCTGGGTTGTCTAATCCCAGAGGTCATGCTCTTAAGCAATCTTGTTTTCCAATCTTGCTGCTTGCCCAAAGGCATAGAGCTGGAAGTGAGGGCCGCTGAAATTTATATGATGATTACAAAAAAAAAAAAAAAGGTAATGAGAGCAGAGAGTTTTGCTTTATATCATTAAAAGTGTGGTGTTGACACAAGACTTTTACAGTATCTCGCTGGTCATATCTGTTCTAGGGCAATCTTGCCTTTGAGGAGGAGGGACTGAACACAAGCTGACAGCCCAGGAGCTGGGGGGCCCTGGAGGAGGTTCAGGCACATACGAAGCCAAAGCCATCTCACAGCAGGGCTACTGGCACACAGTTTCCCTTAAGTCCAGCCCATCGCCAACAGAAATCAGTGGCAGTTCAGGAACCCCGACCTCAGCAGACCATCGGCAGCCTGAAGACCCTCCCCCAGAGACCCTTGCAATTCAACCTCCACAAGTCCAGGTGAGAAGTTCTGAGACACGTCAGCCCAAGACAGCACAACATTTTGGGTGATCTCATTTGAATTCAGTCATTCAACAAGACACCCACTGTATGCCAGAGTAGTGAACAAAAATGCCAGGTCCCTGCCCATATAGTACTTCCCGTCCAGTCGGTTTTCACTGGACTTGGCAGCTCAGAAATCCAAACAGTAAGGAGATGGGCTCACTGTTCAAAAGTGCCAACCAGTACAGGGCTACGCAGAACAGTGACGCTCATGATTTTTTCAGATTTCCAGAAACTAGGGGTACCCCTCCTCTCAAAGCTTTCAAAGAGGTCACTTTGGCTCAGGATCGGAAAAACAAATCACTTCATCAATTCGAGAGAGTGATGTACACAAGTTCAGTAAGGGCAGGAACTCAGGTGCATGGCCTAGAATAGTACCTGCCACACAACAGGTGGTACATACACTTACTGAGTGAGTGTGTGACCGGACCAACAGGAGAAAACAGGAGCGGGCCCTCAGCTGCGTATCTTGCCACATGTCATCCTCTCCTCCCTCGTGGCTATTTGCAGACGTGTATATCCCACCGCCCAGTAAGCTCCCGAGGATGCATTTTGTTCATATTTAATCCCCTGTGATAATTAATCTGGGTACAAGGTAAGTGATCAACGGGTGTAGAATAAATGGATGTGAAGGAAAGAAGGAAGGAGGGGAGTGAGGAAAGGAGGAAGGACAGAGGGAGAGAGGAAGAAAGAAAGGAGGGGAGATAGGGAGGGAGGGTAAGGGAAGGGGAGATGGAGAGAAAGCTCAATTTGATTACACAACTACATACGGTAGCCCTAGCCTGGGCTATTCTGAGTAAGATGTCAGATGACAAAATCATGTAGGGTTGACAAGCCTGGCTTTGGAGTCACAGGATGTGAGACTGAATCCCAGCTCAGCTATCAACGAGCTGTGTGATGTTAACACGTCACTTAACGTCTCTGAGCCTCAGTTTGCTTAACTATAAAACGGGATCATAGTGTCTTCCCCACCCCCCCACCCCAGGCATAAGGATTATACAGGATGATATATATACAAAGTACCACCCTGTGTGTGCCCCCCTTTCTTCCATATCCCAACTTCAGCACTTCTCCTGACTGGCTGGGTTACACCAGCATGCCAGTCCACTGCCCAGGCGTCCATCTCCCCATCCTAAGTGGGGAGAGCTCTGTGGTCCAGCCCCAGTGGGCGGGTACTGAGATCTCAGTTCCTCAGAACCAGGGCAGCCCCCAGCACAGATCCCCAGGGCGTGTGCTGTACTCTGAGGAGGCTCCCAGCTGCCAAAGAGCAAGGCCGTCACAAGTAAGGCCTCTAGCTTCCACAGGGAGAGAGGGTGGGGACAAGGGGATAGGACAGGGAGCAGAGGCTAGGCAAAAGGGCAGCAGGGGTTCAAGCTGATTAAAGCTGTACCCAGGAGCCAAATACCAGTTTACTTTTCTGGTTCAATTTTACAGAGCCTCCCGCTTCATACAGCCTATATTCCAGGGCCCACACAGAGCCACAGCCACTCCCAGCCAGTGGGACAGCAACGTGGTGGTGGCTGCGGCAGAGGTCAGGTAGCGTTCTTCCCCATCCCCAAGAGAATGCAAGGGTAGAAAAAAAGGGGAAAGAGAAACTTGCCCAGTCAGGGCCACAACAAAAACCCCCTTACTGGACCCACCTCCATCTTCCGTTCAAAAAAACACCACCAGTGAGGGCTTCTTCGGGGACCCTGTGGCCTGTGACTCCGGCCCTAGAATCCCAGCCAGTGCTTGCCACGTCCTTTAACAACTTCCAATAGGGAAATTGCTAAAGAAAAAAAGAAAAAAACAAAGGCTCCATGCCAGCAGGCTCTGAAATCATTTCCCCAGCTGCAGCCAGAACATGAAGCTGTGATTTTTTTTTTCGTTTTTTTAACCTGTGGGAGGGTGGAGGGGAGGTGGGAAGAGTCCTGCTGTGTGATTCTAGATGTTCGGGGAGGGGAAAGGGACCCTGCCTGTAAACTCACCCTCCTGCTCATCCCCTAGCTCCTCCAAACTCTGCCTCTGTGCAGGTGGTACTCGTCCCACGCCAGCAGGAGCACTATCTCACCTTTCACCCATCCCCTGGATGAATCTAGCCTTCCCACTACCAGGAATTTTATTTTCCTTCACACAAGTCTAATGTTTTGTCTCTCTGTCTATGTCTCTCTCATATACACACACTTCAACGATCTCCCAGACAAAACCCCAACGCCTGCACTTTGCGTGACCCTACCCTGTCGTCCTCCCCAGTCCTCCCAGACCAGGCCCTTTCAAACACTTCCTGTGAGGACGGTACCAGCTCTCTCAGACCTCCGGGTCTTTGCAGGTACTGTTCCCTCTGTCTGGTGTGCTCTTCCCCGTCCCGCCAAGCTGGCTCCTAGCTCTCAGGGAAGCCCCTGCCTGGCATCAGTCCTTCCTTGACCTTCGCAGCCCGAGTTCACCTGCTTGCTCCCACAGGCCCCAGGCCGGCTTTGGTCAGGACGCTTGGTGCCAGCTCTCAATGCGTGTGTTTCACCCCAGCCTATAAGCTCCTGGGACCAGGGAGAGTGTCTTTGGCATCCTAACTCAGCACGGGGTCCCACCAGGGCAGGCTCTAGACCTGCACTGACTAATACACAATAGCCGTATGTCTATTTAAATTAAAATTCATGATGATCCAATTTAAATTTCGGCTTCTTAGTCACCCTGTGCATAGTTCAAGTGCTCCATGGCCACACGTGGTTGGTGGCAGAACAATATAGCAAGTTTCTGTTGTCACAGAAAGCTCTACTGGACAGCGTCACTCTAGACCAAAGTCTGATGGGTGGGTAAATAGATGAAGGTGCCTCCCAAGCTACCTGTCTCTAACAACCCAGGAAGAAGGAGGAGGAATCAAAGGTCACGCGTGTCAGAAACACTGCCGCATCACTCACCCCGGAAACCGGGAAGCACAACCACCGCCCTGAGGTCACTTCCATATCTGTCCCCCCTCTTCATCCAGCAGAAAGGCACTGTTTCCTGGAACCCTTATGACCACAAACTAATGACCACAATCTAAAGCCAAAAGCTGAAATAATATTTAGATAACCCTCGAGAAACGGACCCCAGGAAGGCAGTATTGAAAAGGAAGAAGATTATCCACACACACGGCTATCCACACGTATGGTGTATGCATTTTCCTGAGGGAAAAATCAGAGCCCGAGTCAGGAAGCAATGAAGGGTTAAGATCAGCAGATAAGAGGTCAAGGGGACAAATCCTACCACACAAAGACCATCTCATAAGTGTGTGTGAAGCCGGCGGGGGGGGGGGGGGGGCGATATTTTGAGGGGGATTAATGGCAATGTGTTTTTTACTGTAATACAATTTTTTTTAATTTTTAAAAATGTATTTATTTAAAGTGTGTTCTTCCAGGACCCATTAGCTCCAAGTCAAGTAGTTGTTTCAATCTAGTTGTGGAGGACGCAGCTCACAGCGGCCCATGTAGGGAATCGAACTGGCAACCTTGGTGTTATGAGCACTGCTCTCTAACCAACTGAGCTAACCAGCAGCTCCTGTAATGATTTTTTTTTAAATTTAAACATTCGCCATATTGTTTGAGCACACCTCGTCTATATAATGAATTTCACATTACTTTTAAAACAATAGTGAGAGTCAAATCTTTTTAATTTTAGAATAGAAGTAAGGGATTTAAAAGATGGGGCTGGGCGACCTACTCCTGCCAAGTGTTGGTTTATTTATGGCCTGTGAGAGCTGTCCTGTACCTCTGACACTGGCGTATGTTATGCCCTCCATACATCCTGGTTCGTTAGTTGGTTAGTGGGTGGGTGAGTGGGTCGGTTGGATGAATGGGAAGAAGGAACAAAGGAAGAAAACAGTATATTATGGCAGTTGAACAAGAGAAAATTAAACGCACACCCTGTTTCCAAATCCCAAAGCCAGCACCTTCTAGCTATATGATTTTAAACAAGTTCTTCAACCATGCCACGCTTTAATTTCAAGTATGAAATAGCAATAGCGGTCGTAACTCCTTCACAGGGTTTTGTGAGGTTATCTATACAAAGTGTTTTAACACAGTGGCTGCCACATGGTCACTGTTCCCAGAAATGTTGGCTGCTGTCCTTATGGTGAACCAATGAATGACTAGTGTGGTCAGGCTGTCTGTCTCTCTCACTCATAAAGCAGTAGCACCCAGGACACACGCTAAACCCACATGTACCCTGGGTCCCTCCTGCTGCTGCTGCTGTCTCCCTCCCCACCCCCTCACCCCTTCCTGAGATGGAGCCGTCCTGGGCTTGGCATGTGGTCCCTTTGCCTGGCCCAGTGCTTACCCCAGCCCGACCTGAGTCCCCACGGCCCGCATACCTGCACCACCTCCGGCCTCACATTGAAGGTGTATAGCCAGTCACTGAAGCGAGGGTAGCTGTTGAGCTCTGAGGGCCTCTCACCAGGAGCAACACTCAGCTTGCACTGCCGCTGCTTGCAAATGTACCGGACCAGCTTCGCCTGCAGGGAGCCCAGGAAAGAAAAGGTTGGTTCATTCAGGGCACGTACACATGGCCGCCCTGAACACGCTCCAGGAGAGCTCTGGCAAACAGGGGCACTGTGAGAAGGGCGGGAGCCTGCTGGATTCCCCTTTGCTGCCATTCCAACAGCACTGAAGCAGGAAAGAGGGGACACAGGAGGAGAGAAGGATCTGGGAGAGCCAATAGGAAACCTGGAGAAAAACCCTTAAGCCGCTACCCCACCCAAGGCTGGCTCACACCGCCTCACCCTTGGGACCATGATCCTCAGAGAGTGACGGGCAAAACTGGTCTCAACAGAGGATACGGTTAAAACATAAGGACGTCCCGCCTGAGTGGGGGAGGCGTGGGGGAAGTTAGGTTGAGGGGGGTTAGTAATCAATGATATGGAAGATGTGGGAAGTTGGGGAGGATGAGTAAATCTTCTCCTTAGGATGCTTCCAGCCTAGAATCTGCTTCCATCCTAGAAAGGCTGCCTGGGTTGGGATGCAGGAGTCTCAGGCACACGCTAGCCCTGTGACCTTGGACAAGTTACTTAACACCCTGGCTCCAGAAAAGCCTCAGTTTCCTCTTCCAGAAAATGGGATAATAATAGCACCTCCCTCTCAGGGAGGCTGAGAAGAAAGGAATCACTCAGTGTGTGCCTGGCCCACGCATGCTAGCCATGGCTGTTGGGTTGCGTGTGGCATTCTTAGCAAGGGTCCTGACTCAGGTCTAACAATAGCCTTTCAAGACCCGCACCCTACAATGGATGCAAATTTCATAAGTGTGAGTCTATGCCTTTTTCAGGGGGAAAGAAAGAGTGTCCACAGCTTTAAAAAACTTCAAATAAAATAAGATTAACTAAGGTCAGCCTGGCATTCTCTTTGACAAACACTGGGCTCCAAGTGGGTGCCCCCCACTGTACTGAGGAATGCAAAGGTGGGGGCAAGACCTGCGGGGAGGGCAGAGCCCTGGGCTGATTAAAAAGATGGGGGGACGGACTCGAACTGGAACAGATGTAAATAAGTGCACGACCTGAAGAAGATCAGGGTCCTGGCTTGGCTGAGATCAAGTGACCCATGGACCCAAAGAGAGCTGCTGAAATGTTGACGAGATTCTGTTGGCCTCATATTGGTGACTTTCAAGTTTCACTGGAAGGCAAGTACCGCCTTCAAAGTCTTGTATGGGAACCCTGCCATTCAAGCCACTTCCCAGTCCAACTGCCCTACAAGGGTTTTGTGGTTAATACATCCCTTTATCTTTCATTTGTAAATATCTCAGTATGTTTCTCTAAAGGGTAAGCACTCTTTCTGTTAGCACAGTCTCAATATTAAACAATAGTTAATAATTTTAAATTTCAAATATCTAGGAAGGCCCCCCAATATCCAAACAGAACCTCTTGACCATTTTGGGACCATGGACCCCTTTGCCAGTCTGGGGAGATCCATCCCTAAGAATAATGCTCTTAAGAGCATAAAACAAAACACTGTGGATTGCAAAGGAAATGAATTATATGTAAATACATTTATCAAAATGTTATTTAAAATTGTGATAGGGAACTGAAAGCTTCTTTAGAAAAGCATTAAATAATATCTAGCAGTTGGTCTCATAGCTATCATAAGTTTGAAATGGTGACAAATGTAAAACTGCTTTTTCAGATAACCCCATAATTGTATCGTGACACGAAAAACAGCTGTGATTTCTACTGGTGACCGAATCACACATATTTGCTAAGACCAACTGTGTGCCTTGTTGCCTACATCCAAATTGAACAACATACTAAATTTCAGTTAAGGTTAATGGAAGGTAAGAAATGAAAGGCAACAACAATCTTCCCCTCCAAACTCATAGACCTCCTGGAATTCTCTCCATAGAGCCCGGTAAAGAACCTCTCTGGCTAAAGGGATGTGAGGCGTGAAGTGAGACTCCAGTGACAACAAAATCACTGCTTCTGTATCAGCCTTTCTGAAATCTCCCCCCAAAACTTGTTTGGTCCCAGGCTAACAATCTGCTAGACTCAGGGGCACTGGCCCTCTCCTGTGGCCTGCAGGTCTGTTAAGTCCTGCTATCTTCAGAGGGCTCAGTGGCAAGTGAGGACAATTGCTGGAGAGGAGACACTGAGTCGGAACAAACATAATTCCACTCAATTGTACATTCGATGTTTAGTGAAATGTAGACAGAAGCAAACCACGGCATTCCTGCACTACAAGACCCTCGGGGTACCCAGAGCAGACATTACTAATCAAACATTCTCTGCTGAGGCTTGACACCTGAGCAGACATTGCAAATGGAACACTCTCTGCTGAGGTGGGCAACTCCAAGTCGTCACACAAAAAGTGCATTTGCTGTCCTATTATGAAACCTAAGCCTCTGGGAACATCTTTAGAGCATGAAGCGCATAAACGGTGAAGGCATGATTGTCTCTTGTACCCTAAAGGGCTAAGTGGAGGCACTAATGTCCCACTCCGTCCATCCCTCTCAGTGTGACCAGAGGCCAATTCCAAAATCAGGGCCCCAGACTTCTTTCCCAGGCTCATCTCCACTCCACCGCTGGCCCACCCTGCCCTCCAGGTGCACATGCACCTAGGTGCTATTCCTCAAATACTGCCTATACTTTCCTACCCCCTGGGCTTCTCTGCTGAAAGTGTCTTGCTCTGGCCAGAAGCCCCTCCCTCTTCCAGCCACAGTGTCCTTGGCCTCGGCAGGCCTTCCCAGGCCTGATTCGAGTTCCCATCTCCCTTTCTGAGTGCGCTGTCTGCGTGTCTGTGGCAGCCCCTATCACAGTGGGCCTCATAGTCAAGCTTCTGACACGGTCTCTGCCAACAGACATGAGCTCCCAGGGCAGCAGACACAGAACAGGCTTTGGGGTTCAACAGAATCTGGGTTCAAATCTAGATTCTTCCATTTACCAGTTGTGTGACCTCAGGGAAGTTTGTTAATGTTTCTGAGTCTTGCTTTTCTCACCTGTACAACAGGAGTGATAATATCTAGCTCATGGCCTGTTGGGAAGATTGAACTATAAGTGTGGAAACCCATACTAGTCTCCCTATTATTATACATCGGTGCAGGGGCTGTGCCTACCTCATTTGTGACTGTACCCACACACTTATTACTGCACCTGGAACATAATATGTACTCAAAAATCCTGAGGAAGGAAGGAAGCAAAGAAACCCATGGGCCTTATCCTTGTATTAAAATCTTTCTCACAGCTAGTCCTTCCCTCCACTCCAAGCTGCTCTCAAACCACAGAGCTGACCAAAGAGCTTCAAAGAGCTGACCAAAGACAGAAATAAATCAAATAATTGTGCTTAGTCTAAACCATTCTTTTCCACATTAACTGAAGAGGTCGGGCTGCCGGTACTGACAGCAGCCGCAGTGAAGGCCGTCCGTCACTGGCATTGAGAGTTCCCAGGGCCGTGCCCCTGGGAGACGGTGAAAAACACATATGTTCTGCATAAGGCTTGGGCCATCACAGGTCAGCGTCAAGGTCAGGCAGACTGGCCTCAGCAATGAGCCAGCATTTGGGGATTTCCCTCGTTCAGCACCTTCCAGCGTGTCCAGCCCTTTCAGCCTCCAGGAAGGTTCTTCCCAGTGGCCCCTCAATTTCCACAGCTCAGTGCAGATATCCATTCCTCCAATGAAAGGCCTTCCCCAAGCCCTTCAGCCCTCCTCCTTAGCCCCCTTTCCCTCTCCTCCATGAGGTCACACATCGCAGTTCTAATACATGACTTGTCTGCTTCCTTCTTTAGGCTGTTAAACTTCATGAGGCGCCAGGGGCCCGGTCTGTGTTCTCGGTCCCATCAGAGCCCCAGGAGCCAGCTTAACACCTGGCATATAAGATTTGCTGCTGTAAAACCTTTGTTGAATGAATAAACCAATGAAAACACAATACATTTAAAAGCCCCGACAGGCATGTACGTTTACCAAAATGACAATGGAAAAAAAATGGCAATTAGGTAGGTGATGACTCAGGAGCCTGAAAGCCTCAAACACCTAAGCCAGTTCCCCAGAAGAGGGGTGAGCAGTTTCTTTGTTCAAAGGCTGTATGAGATCCCTGCTACAGAGTCCAAAGCAGCCCGTGGGTAGCACGATGCAGACCTTGAAATGATTCCTCGCTGCACCCAGTTAACAACCCATCAGCCTACCCAGCAGTGCCCTGTAACCCATTTGCCAGCAGGGCTGGTGTCCTGGCAGATGCTACCCTCCAGGGCTCAGAGAGAAGGCATGACACCTGCAGGTCTGGGGTTCTGCTGAAGCAGCAAAGCTGTTCTCATTCACAAAGGATGGAGGTGCCCAGTGTGCAGCAGCTACAACTGAGAAAAAGAAGGCTGCTCTCACTTTTTGGAAAGTTGGTCACAGTCACAGAAGCACCCAGGGGCTACTTTCCCAGAGAAACCACAGTGGGGCCCGCCAGCCCAGCCCCAGGGGCCTGCAAGAGGACCTTTTATGGGTAGCATCATTTTCTCTTAACCACAAAACCACAAGATATAAATTTTCCGGAATAGAAAAGCACCTGGGGTTTCAGCGATGGAACTAGCAGTAAGAGTCATTAGTACCCTGGCCGTAAGGGAGGACCTGGGCTGAAACTGAAGTCTCACTCACCCCAACCCCAATATTCTTTGGCTTTGTACGTGTGTGCCCTACCCCTGCTCTGACGCTCAGCCTGTTTTACAGAAAGAGCAGAGGTGCATCATGTCAGCCCGTAAGCAGTTGGTGGGTATTACCAATACACGGTACACAGCAGGTGCTCACTAAGTGTTCTAGGCTGAAAGATCTACGCTGTGGTCCCAGCTCTGACATTTAGATCAAGGATCTAGGGGAAATCCCCCTTAGCTCCCCTTTAATCTTACCACCTATACAAAGGATATCATTTTATGGAAGTTGAAGCCAAAATAACTAATGTAAGAGTGCTGGGGACAACAACAACAAAAATACATACAAGTCCTGCTACGTTACCGTTGGCTACTCCAACCATATTCAAGAGGAAGCGAAGCTCTGTGA